TCTAAACAACTTATACACAAATATAAATGCTTATTTATACTTAGTTTGTGTTTTTGTAATAATTATAGGGAAACTATTACATCAGCAATTATTTTATTACCCTTTAAATTGATTTCTGGAGATTATCCAAGGTGCTTCATGACCCATAATTGGGTCCCAAGCCCAGCTTTGGGAACCAAAGTGCAGTGGTTCCCAAACTTTCAGCTTTTGGCCCACAAAATAACAGTAGCAGARACCTGTGCCCCCAACTATTTTTGGATGATAAACATTTGTATCAATTCAACAAAACATGGGCATAGTAAAAATATTTAATACTACGTTTATCCATTTTAAATACACTAACCTCACTCATTTGTAACAACTAAGGCAAAAATGTAATTAATTTAGAAAATCTTTTCAGGACCCCACCTTGATGTTTCGGGACCCCACTTTGGGTCCCGACCCCAACTTTGGGAAACACTGATCTAAACTATTGGGACAACCCTATCACTTCAAAACCAGAGAGCAAAAATAGCACTCAGGATAAATTATTATTGTCAATAATTTCAGGTAGTTATTTTATGCAGAGATTTACTAATTTATTTATACATGGCTTTTTGTATTTTAATAAAGCAACAGGCCTGTGTGTAAAATGTTAAGAGTTACTTTAGTAATTTTAATCGTACACAATCTGTATTGGAAATAACTTAACTTTCCTGTTGTGGCATAATGTATGGGAATTGTTTTACAGTTTAATTATTTCAAAATTTGACTTAAAATACCAGGAGTAGCAGGATCAATAATTCATCGTTTTGTTTTGTTTTTACAGATCAGACACATTTAAGCTTTAAGAGAATGTGATCAATGCTACAYATTTCCCTCGGTGTCAAAGCATGTTGTTGCCTTCAGGACAGCCTGACAAAAAACATAAAGATATTGTCCTGATGCTTCTCAGTAATCCAGGTAGAAAAAATCAAAAAGAAAAAAAATAAGTAGGTCCTCTGGATGGGTTCTTCTTTAGTGAAACATTTCGTCTCTCCTCCAAGAGACTTTTTCGGTCTGATGAGTTTCAGGTGAACTCAGCCTTATAAGCACTGCCTCCACATCGACAAACAGGTTAGTCACATGCAAAAGAGGGCCATCACCTAACTATAGGCTTGATTAGCGCTATTGTTCATAGAGGGTCATGTGCCCCATCACCTGACTTATTGGTTTGGATGCTGTGGTTCTTAGGTGTTGTGTTATGTGTATGCAATAAGTGCAGGCGGGGCTCGACGTCCCCTTTTTTTGTCTTTTTTTCCCTCTTTGTGTTGCTTATCATTGGTTATCGTCATAAAGATATTCTTCTTTTTTTCTTTTTTTTTAAATTCAGTAGAAAAGGCATTGAGCTTGACTTTACTTGTTTTGTTTTTTAAAGATCGTGGTTCAAAGTAAGATTAAGGCCAGGCTAAATGAAGAAATCTCTTATGTGGGTAAAACAAGAAAGTTTTTTTCGTGAGCAAACAATGTGAATTTTAAACATTTTTTCTTCAGTATTTTAGCCATTATGTATTTTTTGAAGTAATTATCCCATYTGTCTGTTTTAATTTCCAAGGCTTRTTGTGGCTTGTAGTTAAACTCCAGTTTTAACGTTCACAGTTTACTGATCTCTGTTGTGGAAATCCATGTTGCTGATTTCTCATCCCTTCCATCAGTCTGGATTTCTGTTTGTCTTTGGACCATTTTGTATTTGTAGGCATAAATCTGAGAGAGATACAAATAAATTTATGTTGGCAAATGTGGAGTTTCTGAGGATAAAACCCCACAAAAGTGACAAACAACACCTTCCCTCGAGTCGRCAGGCACAGGGAAACCTGTCACTTGTTTAATAGTAACTCGTTCCTCTGGGCTGAGCTGTCAGAATCCAGACCAGGGTTTAGATAGAGTGATGATGATGATGAATCAGAGGCAGTTGAATTATAGAAGGATAAGCTGATTAAAGACTGGTTTCTATAACTCATTGAGAAATTCTACATAAAAAAGTTAATGTGCACCGTCACGTTTTTAAAATGTGCAGTGTAGCTCCACTAGATGTGTTTCTGTGTGTTTAAGACCCATAAACACTGTGATCATAGAAATCAAAACGGCGAGGTCTGAAAATTCAATTATCGAGCAGCTGAGTGGTGTTTTTTTTTCCCCCACAACTGTCACGCCTCGCACACTCTCACCACCTCTCTCTTGCTTTCCCTTTTCTCTCCTCCGCGTCATCTCCACAGCTGCTGAAGGACTTTCCAGACGAGCTGCGCTCTGACATCACCATGCATCTCAATAAGGAGATCCTGGAGCTGTCGTTGTTTGCCTCTGCCAGCCGCGGCTGCCTGCGCTCGCTGTCGCTGCACATTAAGACCTCCTTCTGCACCCCCGGAGAGTACCTGCTGCGACAGGGCGACGCTCTCCAGGCCATCTTCTTCGTCTGCTCGGGGTCCATGGAGGTGCTGAAAGATGGAATGGTTTTGGCCATCCTGGGTATGTCAGAAGCTGAACAGTGGAAAGAAACCAAAACACTAGTGGTGTTGTGTGTTTATATACAATTACCACCATTCTCTGCTTTCTCTATTTGTGGATAACTTTATTTCAGTGCTTTCATTATCCGATAATCAGGTAGTTCAGGCCTGAGTGTGGCTGGTGAAACTGAGCAGTTTTCTGAAAAAAGCTGAGTTAGTAATTCATGATTTAACAAGAGGGCAGTTACTTTAAAGTTCAGTTTTTTTTCTAAATGCACTAAACCATCATTTAAAACTACTTTTCATATCTACTGCATGTTGTCTTTGTGTAATTAAAGCCTTTGTTTGCTGATCAAGAACATTCAAACGTGACTCAAAAACAAGAAATGTGAATGAAGGCAAATACTTTATTATATCTTTAGCTTCAATTAAATTTGTTATAAATAATAATTATTTCACAAAATAACCTGTTTTATATACAAAACACTCCTGTCTCTTTGGCACAATATAAAACTAAATATGAAAATGAACATCATTTATAATGCATTTGAATGAGGTCTTATAACTTAAATAAATGTGCTTACAACTCTCTATAAWAATCATTAAGAGCTTGGTTGAGTAGAAGTATTCAACCTGAAAAAAGTTTCCCTA